CATTGAGATTTTGTGGTTAGTCATTGTTTTCCAAGAGTCTTGCAGATCTTTACATTCCCAAGTCGTTTCTCACCCAGCAAGAACTTTCTTTGACCTTCCAATAGTCCCAGGTAAAAATTGCTGCAAATACATTCTCACTTCTCTACAAATATATGTGCTTAACATTTTCATTTGATTAGAATACAATCATATATAATAAACAACACTGTTGCAGATTTTTTTGATTTCTTTTAAAACAATTCAATTTTTTTTCTTCCTTCCAGAAGGAGTCACTGCACTCTATTGAATGCATAAGCACTTTCCCTAATCCGTCTTTGAAAGAAATGTGTAGACAGGAGTTCTTCCTTATCCTAATGAGGGAGGTTCATAGACGCATTCTAGATTTTAGACACTAAAATAAATGAGATGCTGGGGCTCTCGGGTGATGGCTTTTTGTTCAGTCACTGTATCCGGTGTTTCCTACTTTCCTTTGCGTTCGGTTGCCATAGTCAGCGCTTTCTCCCTTTCCCGGCGGAAGAAACGATGCTTTCCGTTCAGAAATCGAGATGGCAGCCTGTGTTAGTAAGACTTCATTCCCGTGGCAGAGCTATGTTCTGCGAGTGCTTCTCCACAGGGTATAGCCTGCTAGGGGCTGCGGGCTTCACACAGGAAACCAGAACTGTAATCAGGCTGCAAAATATGCTCTATGCATGGTTTAGTCTACAACCTTGGTATTCTGTCTCCCTCTCCCCACCCCATCTCTCGGTCTCTCTCCCTCCTTTCTTCCCTCCCTCCCTCCCCTGTACACCTGGCCAGAATTCCCTGCACTTTTGAGTCTTTTTGCAGTTTCCACAAAAGCATGATCCAAACACGACACGCACCATGGTTATTGCTTCTTATCAGCAAAGCAGTGGGCAGATGGGCAGACTGTGCTTTCATAATTCTAAGTTAAGGACACTGTCCTGACTTGGGAGGGGCAGAAGAAAACAACGCGAAAACATTTTTGATGGTTTCCAAGACAGATAAAATCCAAAAGCTTAAAATGGCTGTCACGGCAGAGCAAGTTAACCCTGTTTTCTTTCCCAAGCATCACTGTGGCTATCTTGTCTGCAGATGGAGTCACGGACTTTGCACCTGCTTGTCTGTGTGTGTCTCCCAGGGAGATGGTGAGCACACGAGGCCGGGAGCTGCCCGCCTTTGCACTGCGTACCCTTCACACGGCGCCATGAACTATAAACAAGTGTTGTTAAATACACAGCACAGAGCATTGGTGACCCCCGTAACATTCAGCCTAATTAAACGGAGTATAAAAGTCCACCCCAAGTTCTAACCCCTATAGCCTTCTCTCTAATTCCACAGAAAATTTACGCATCTTTAACTCTCCGGAGAGGGCAGCATCCATCTTGCCTGCCACACATCAAGGGCTCTTGTTCTGTTCTTGGCTCAGTGCTTTGCAGAAACTCTAAACGTGGTGCCGTGCTATAGGCAAGTATCTAACATACATTCGTCTGTCTACCCCCGTCTCTGCCATTCACTGAGTCACTTGCGGGTTCTTTACCTTTCGTGCACGGACATGGAAGACAAAAAAAATCTCGGCAGTAAGAATTTCATATTGCTAATATAACTAACTGCTCTCTTGGGAAACCTTTTTTTAATATTTAATTTTATTTGTAGCCCTGTACTTGTGTATGTGTGCAGACCACATGTGTGCGGATGCCTAGGGAGAAGGGGGCGAGCATCAGAAAACTGGAGCTGGAATTACAATTACAGGTGGTTGTCCATCACTCAACATGGATGCTGAGAACCAAACTTGGGTCTGTGGGATAAGCAGCAAGAACTCTTAACTGCTGAGCCCTCTCTCCAGCCTCTCTTTCGGAAGGTGTTTATGGAACAGAGTTTTCCACATTGGGATTATCCACATATAAGTGTTACTCCTTTTAACATGAGTTTTTTTTTCCAGTGTCAGGGATACAACCATGGTCCCATCCATCCTCCCTAAGCAAGAGCTTTGCCATGAACTATACTCTAAGATCCACTGACACACTTTGAAAATTCAGCTTTTTTAACAAAAATATTTGTGTCTGTCTAGGGTGCGTGCATGTGTGTGTTGTATCCATGCACATGTGCACACAGGTGACCACTTGCATTTATCGCCACATGCACAAGAATGTGGAGGTCAGAGGTCGACATCAAGTGCTTTTCTCAGCTACTTCTCCACCTTGTGTTTTGAGCCAGGGTCTCTCAGTGAGCTTGGAGGTGTCAGAAAGTCCCAGGGATCTTCCTGGCTCCACCCCCAGTCACTAGGATTGCAGGTGTGGACCGCATCCTGATGGAGGGGTTGGGTGGCTAAACTCAGGCCCGCATGCTTACCCAGCATGCACTTTCCCACGGGAGCCACGCCCCCCAGTTCCTAAAGAAAGGATTTTAAGTGTTGAGTGTAGTGTTTATATAATCTGAGCCGAAGTATCTGAGGGATAGATCCAGCTTTGAGCATGTCTTAGACAGGGCAGGAGTAACAACAGTAGAGCAGGCTAGTAATAGAGTCTCTAGAGCCAGCACACACAGGTTCGAACCACGGCCCTAATAAGCAACAGTGGCGTGACCAGGTAGGTCTGTAAAGTGAGGGTAATGCTAACATCTACTGCTAAGGGCTTCTGTGAGGGTCAAACAACATATCTGAGGTGCTTAGAACATAAATTCAAGAAACACAGGAAGGGCTCAACAAATGTCAGCTTTAAGCATTTTGATTTATCCAGGGAAAGAATATGAGTGATCTCTCTCTGGGATACAAATAAGTCCCAGATTGCTGTGGATTTTTAAAAAATAAATTTCTGTACAATTTTTACTTAAATATTTTATATATTTTTGTCTGTTATTCTGCTTATTTTTAGGAGTTCTTTTTTGTATGCATGCTTGTATTGCTGTCTTAGGGATCAAAACCAGGACCTTGCATATATGTTAGGCAAGTATTCTACCAATGAGTCACACCCCACCCTCTAGGTTCTGTTCTTCATTGTTCAAGTTGGCTTCTGAGTCTTACCTTAGTATCACATTCTAGTTGATGCCTTTTCAATACTCTTCCTCCTCCTGTCCCCCACCTGTCCTCTTCTTCCTCCCCTTCCTCCTCCCATCCTCCTCTCATCCTCCCCTTCCTCCTCTCATCCTCCCCTTTCTCCTCTCGTCCTCCCCTTCCTCCTCCCGCCCTCTCCTTCCTCCTCCCATCCTCCCCTTCCTTCTCCTGTCCTCCTCTCATCCTTCCCTTCCTCCTCCCGTCCTCCCTTTCCTCCTCCAGTCCTCCCCTTCTCCTCTTTCTCTTCTTCCTTCTCCAACCTCCTTCTCCTCATTTTTTGTTTTTCTGAAACAGAATCTTGCTGTAGCCCAGGCTGTCCTAGAACTCCAGATCCTCCTGCCTCACCCCCTAACAGGTGTGTGCTTCCACCCTCAGCTCACACTCAGTTCACAGTACCCCTTCTAATTTGAAGCTTTATGGTGGCCTGAGAAACCAAAACACTGCAATACAATTTCATAAGGATAAGGGTTCCCACCCGTGAGGACCTCAGGGGCACTCCCAAGAGAAGGAAACCTAAGTGTTAACTCGGAATTCACTGACATCTAGCTCTACTTCGAGGTCCTTCTGGCTTACTTATTGTGTTCTCAGCTGTATTCTGGAAAGCTGGAAATACCAAATAAGTGACCTATGAATTAACGAGGCACCATTGTTCTTATTCTGTCAAGCATTAGATTAATCAAAACCAAATGAAATGTTAGTTTCTTCACGTCTTGCACTGTTAATTTTCTGCAATTATTAATCAGCTATCAAGGTAATTATTAAGCGTTCAGTCCAAACAGTGTTTTTAGTGCCGTACCTGCTCCGGTGTAGATCTTACCGACTTTGAGCACATGGGTATCACTCACTTTGCTAGCATACGGAGCTCAGGCAAGATAAAAATATTCTTATGCAATTCAATCCATTGCTCTGAGGCGGAAGTCATCAATTCAACAAAAGAGAAAAATAAGACTCATCAAAAAGCTTCCATGAAAGAGCAAGTGATAAATAGGTAACGAGAGAGGCAAATGGAGACTCTGCATTCTTGAAATTTAGAGAAAAAAGAAACAGAAGGCTATGGGTTCACAGAGAAACAAGGAACAATTTACCAACTTTATTCCCAGCCCCTAAGAATAATAAGCACCCAATTTACTATTCGGTTCAGGAACATCTTCACCCTTTCCTCCCACTGGAAAGGCATGAGAGGGTTTGATAAGGACACGGTGCACATCGAGACGATCAAACCTTCTGCTCCTGTGGCCGGATGCCAGGAGAACACAGCAACCTCCCACCCTTGGGAAATCTAAGCCTGCGCCGGAAGCTGGCAGCCACCAGGCCGCAATCTCTACATGAATAGATTTTAAAAATCATGGATATTTTTGCATTACATGTTACCTACCATTTACATACATTTTAAAATATTTTAACCATAAAATTTTTTAATTCCTCCTATTTATAAACATTCAAATAAAATTGCCGCTGGGGGATGGAGGGAGATTTGCACTGAGTTCACATACCCCTCCCTTGAATCAGTTTTGGGCAGAGGTGTGCGGACACAGGTGAAATAATATAGTATAATAGGCTCAAGGGTCTCAAGTATATCACAATAAATTAATAACCCAATTATCTGTAAATGCAAATTCCAACTCTTAGGCATCTCAGTGAAGCCAATAGATCGGAAAGGATGGAAAACCTAGGCCCTGCAGTTTTAAAACGCCCTCCTAGCTGATGAGCTACTGTTTTTATAAAGAGATCAGTAATGATGTCTCCTGTTCCAACACGGAGTTAGTGTTTCCCTAAATACATCAGCTTTGGGAGCATTGGATTACCCAGGAGGATCGGCACCACAAGGAAGCAAGGAGTCATTCCTGGCAAATCAGTGATCAGCAACACAGAAAATCCGGCGCTGGATACAAAATGACAACAGGCAAAGGGGGACAGAGGAAAGGGAAGGATGCCCAGAGAGGTGACTCACCCTCATCCTGATAATCTGACCAAAAGGATGCATCTGAGGTGAGGGATGGACCGTGGGGCCCACCCGGGTTGTCATCAGAGCTGTCCTGGCCAAGGTCTCCTCCTGAGGGTCCAAAGAGAAAATCAGGTCATCCTATGTCGGACATCTTGATGGGCATATTTACAGGTGTCTCCTGGCACTTGCAAAAGGGGATGCGTCTCTCACCTGATGTGCCTGTCTGCTACTGTCAGCACAGGAGAGAACTTTGAGAACCAACTTACCTGTGTGTGAGATGTTCCCCTCCCACCGACCTCTTACTAGCACTAAGCAACTGGTAGCTTGGAGTGGAAGACCTTTCGCCACAAAAGAGCAATTTCTCTGTCACATTTAAAATGAAAACACAGCTGTATAAATTTGTTTTCATATAGTCTACATCTCCATGAATTACAACCTTTACCCCGAAGGCCTCTTTCTCTTTCCGTTTCTAAATGAAACAGAAAGAATGGCACAAAGGTCTAATCTTCTACACACAGTATAATGGAGCAAGGTCAATACTCTCCCTCTCCCGAAAAATAAGAGCAGTAAACAGAGAACCCAGACTCTGCTGGATTCTATTCCTATTTAAATCACTACTTGTTTTGCAACCTTAATAAAGTTCTCTCTTGTAATTCTAGTTTACAGCCTGCAAGCAACCTCCCAGGAATTCTAAAAGCCGGAGGAAGGTAATATTTGTTCTGCAGAATGACTTTGATAGAAGGTAATGTATATACAATACTGAATTATGCAATTAAAACATTGCTAATCCCTTTTGGGTGTTTTCGGCCTATATTGAATTGTATTTTGTAGAAGTGGCCAATGCTATCATGATACTTTAAAAGGTTCAGGCGGAAGATGCTAGCTCACTCACCAACCGGAAGAAAATGAAAGCATTGTAAATTGCTTTCCTTAAAAATCCCCCAAACAGAGGTACAGATCGCTGATAAAAAGAACGCCCGACAGCTGCTTGGTTCATTTCACAAACATGAAAACGGGATTTTTCAACTGAATTTAATATTATCTCCGATACTAATTTCCAAAGGAAATCACCAATGCTAATCTCAGTAAACACTGTAGCGTTTTTTGGCCCAGGATTTCAACCAGGGAGCCGTGAAACCAAACAACCTGCATAGAATCTGTATTGCCTCACTTTAAAGGTTTATTTCCTAAAATTAAACTACAAGGAGAGAGAGGATATAAAACGATATAAAAAAGGGGAAAGAGGGAATGGCTGTGGTCTTCTCTTGCCACAAACCAGATTTCTCTTCAAATGCTCGGTGGTAGGTAGATGCCCGAGACTGCCCGAAACACTTGCAGGCATAGGACTTTAAAATAAACTGTGGAGTTTATTGTAGAAAAAAAGATTCTTTTACCTGATGCAACAGTGACCGGCTAAAGCCAGAAGAAACATGCTCTGAGCATAAAAGCGTCCCTGTGCGATCGCTATCCAATAAAAGCCTCAAACACTGGACAGAACGTTACAACACTCAAATTTTACACCGTGGCAGAGCCTCTGAAATTACATTGTCAACGAGGATGTAAACGAACTGCCTGGTAGAACCCTGAAAGGGAGCTGCAAAGACAAAAGGAATTTTCATTTTGGAGGCAAATCAGAAACCTTTTTTGTTGTTGTTGTTGTTGTTTTTAAAGTAGTGTATGTTCTAAGCAAAATTTAACACTTAGACTGAACTTCATTGTTCAACCATCATTCTAGATTGGTTTTCTGCTTGCTTCATACATCTGATAGAACTGCCACTGAGAGGAAGAACCCGCTCCTTTCTAGTCTAACATCTAATATATATATATATACACACACACACACACACACACACAATCAGGGAGAATTTTTGTGTTTGTATTTTTAAAGACAGGGTCTCTCTATATAGCCCTGACTGTTCTGGAACTTATGTGTGTAGACCAGGCTAGCCTTGAACTCACAAAGATCCTGCTGCCTCTGTCGCCCGAGTGCCGGGTCACCGCTGCCCATCCTTACATAAGTTCTACCTGGTGCAGAAGCTATCACCCTGCTGTGTGGAGCTGTCATCCAGTTTCCCTCAAAGCAGACAATTCTCCCGCACCAGAACACCTGCCTGAAATTGGCGCTTGACTTAGGCACCTCAGAAGTAAAGTCACTTTCGTGTGATTCCAGCGGCATCTGAATAGTGACATAAGGTAAACTTCAACTTCACTGTGTTCACTGCCAGCCCCTGCTCCTGTCTCTATATGCAGTAAGGATTGCAACTCAACACTTCCGACGGAGCCTAGGTCGGCACTACAGCCGGCTGTGGTGGAGGAAACACTTAAAAACTTGCCTTACACTTCCGCGTAAGAGTTTTTATTGTCATACCCAGTGGCCCACCTCCCTTGGGCTCACACAGAACCCAGTCTATCACACTGCGTAAATAGATGCTCCTGTATAATTAAAATGACCACAGCTAGTTGAGATGCATGGGTGAAAAGTTTTATAGAAGAACTGACAATTACCGTGGTCATTTTGAATCAGCTTAAGTTAAAAGGCCTAGTTTTTCCTTAGAGCATAGGCACTGGTCTTCTCTGGGTTCAGCCGCAGCTCTCCCAGTCCCGGTTCCAGGTGGCCACAACTGGAGTCCCGTGGGAACAGACACAAATGATCACAAGCTGCAGTGACAGCCATTTCCACTCAGCCACTGAACAATCAGGGCTTGGAACTCCATCTGCCTAGAGCGGCTCTCTCTCCCAAGCAAGCCCCTCTGCCGCTAGAGACCCACTTCCCGCTGCGACTCCCTCAGAATCAATATATTTCTCTTCAGATACACATTCTAACACACTATATCTCCATTAATCACATCCCCTGCCTTCAGCCTTTTTCTTTGTATTTCTAAACAAGATCTAGGGGAACTCTATCAGGGGTTCACCTGCTATTAGCTGGTAATTTGTTCCTCGATCCTAAGTGTCATAAGTATTGGGCGCTCTATATGCTCCTTAGTATATTCAATGGCAGGTGCCTGTGCTGAGGGGCCCATCGCAGGGATGATTTCTCTATTGTTCTTTTCTGAGAGTCAAACTCAATTTCATCCACGCTTCACAGAGTGATAAGTTGGGGATTTCTGGGGTCGGAACCGAAAGATAAAGCAGCTTCGCGTCAGGTGTCAGGCAATTATTCGCCAGGTTTCTGTGCTGTTTGTTTTTAATCCCTGGGTTTTCATTACCAGCTAATGAGTTCCCCCATCATCCTGAAACAGTGGCTCGGCCACTAGAAGTTGGCTTTTGCTGGCTCGGATTCAACCAACTGTTGCCACTCCGTAAGCTTTATGGCGAACTGCTAAAAACTTGCATTGACTAATTCAACTCCAAATAGAATAGGAGAAAAAATGAGCCACGATGTTCCCCTTGTAGCTCTTGACAGACAGCAAGCCAGTCTACTGCTTGGGGACAAAGACAGAGAATGGCAACAATTTTACCAAAGAGATGAGAAGAGATAGAAAGCAGGTTGCACATTTTTTTTAATGCAATGAAATATAAAAACAAATGACATATAAAACAAACACATGTTTTCTGTTCAATACGTGAAAGACTCGTTAGTTCTTCTCATGTCAGTATAAGTCACCCCCGTCATTTCCCTTCTAATTAATTGTGAGTGTGTTGTAGAAAGTCCCACGTCACCTCTAAGCAACTGTGTATGCTGCATGCTTAGAAACTTCCTGGACTTTCTATGACTTTGTTGCATTTCTTTGGATAACATACAGAAATAGAAACCAATGTGAAATTGCAATTTTGGGTTTTTTTTTTCTGTTACTGCTATCGACATTAGAAGACAACATAGAACTTCCTACTCCACTTAGCATTTAAGAACCCATGAGGCATGTGGCTCCCTCTTTAAACTAATAAATCCTCACTAAAATGCCATAAATAAAGTTTCTTGATCCAAATCCAGTTAGTTTTCATGCTTGGTAGCATTAATATGGCCAGCTCTTCACAGGCCTATTTAACACTAATACAGTTCCCCAAGTCGGGCTGTGGTAGGATCATCAAAATGGCCACTTATCACTCCTTATTATAACCGGTCAACTAAGCCACTGGATCTAAGAAAATATGCTGGACACAGATGTGACCAGATATGGGAAACATTATTCACATGTGAGTATATTACCAATCACATCTACAACACCAAAGCTGTGGAGGGTGGGGGGAGGGTGCAGGGGCAGGGGGGCTGTCTGTCAATACTTGCATTATAAATCACACACCATTTTGCACAAACGCATGCATTAGAAAATGTATGGTGTTTCCCACAGAGCATCTGAGAGGCTTCACCGCCTTCTAAATATCCATTTGGACGTGGGTGGTTAGTTCTTAGGATTAATCCACGTACAGTGAAGGTCTCAAATTCTTCTCCATTCCATACAGTTTGAGCTCTTGCCCATCTTTCTCCTCTTCTTCCATCGATCCATAACTCAATGTATAAATATGCTTCCCCTCCCCACCCCACACACCTCCAAGGCCCTGACAGCAAGTGTAATATTACCAAATGCCATTAACTCTGCAGAATGAATGAGAGGCCAGGTGAAGGAAGTTCCCATTATCATCCTTTGTGAAAGTTGCTCCAACTATAGCTTCAGTGTACAAGTAATCTGAGTTGAAGATTTGAACTTAGTTCTCTATCCTGAAGACACTGCTTTCTAAGTACAAGACCAGGCTAAGAATAGCATTGTTAGAGCGTAGCAGGGTGCAAAAGAGGAAATAGACACAATTTGATACTCGCAGAACAATCGTTACAAAACACCTGTGAATCCAGAAACCCAGGGGGCAGCACAGCTTAATAATATTCTCAAACGAACCACACCAGGCAGCAGGAAATTGGAGAGGTACATGCCCACGGAAGCCTGCTGCTTCTTCCTCAGAAGGCCCCTCCCCCGCTTTTTGAGAAAATGGGTCTTGGAGGTGCAGTTTCCCATTTTAGCCAGTAGGGTGAGCTGCAGTGTGTAGCATCATCCCAGCTCTTAAAAAAGGAAAGCAAGAAATGGGAGGGAGAGGAAGAGACAGACAGACCCACAGAGGCACAGAGACAGACAGACACAGACAGAGAGAGGCACAGAGACAGAAACAGACAG